GAATTGATCCTGGGGTCTGGCCACAACCCAAGGGACCTAGTTTCTTAGTCACAGCTTGGAAACAGTTGAGATCCCCACCCTATAACCATATATATAATTGCTGAGTATAAAGAGATGAATGCACATATTCTTCCAGGATGGCCTTGGGTCTGCCCCACCCTTGGAGACCTAACCCCTGGGTCATAACTTTGAAATGGTTAAGATCCCCATCCCAAAACTATATATATAACTGTTGTGCATAAAGAGACGAATNTCACCTATGCAACATCTATTTTCTTACAGAAGGAAAGAGAGAAAGACAAGGTAAGCAATAGTTTACTCAGTATGCCTCTCACACCGACATTTCCTTTTATAACAACTCTTCTTAAGAGAATAATTATGAAAGAGTAGAACTACTATATTTTGAATTTTGTCACAAAATTAGAAATTTATCTCTAAATCACATGTTTTACAATAATTACGATTTATGTTTTTGGATGGTAATCCAATGCTATACTACAAATAGTGCATTGTTTATAAGAAAACTGAATGTTAACATTTAAACAATCACTATTGTAACATTAAGTCTATTTTCCTTACGGCGGAGACTAAAAGAACTGGAGGTAAGTAATTGAATAACACAGATATATCTCCCACATGAAAGTTTAGCTTTATATCAAATTCTCAAAACAGCATCATTACGGAAAAGAGCCATACTTTGTATTTCGTCACTAAATTAGTGATTATTTTCAAACACACAAAACCAATCAAGTACCATGTACATGTAGATGGAGTACTATTTTAATAAATCGTTGTTGTAGAAAAAATGATAAAACATTGTTACATTTTCTAAAAAAAAACATGGATACGGTGTAGAAAATATAAACACAATTCTATTTCAACATGTACATCGCTTTGCTTAATTTTTAGCTCACCAGTTCCGAATGGTGGGGCCCAATAGGGTCATCTGTACGTCAACAATTTCTTTAAACGACTTCTCCTTCTTAACCACTGATTGGATTTTACCTTTTGACTGGAAGCATCCCTAGGTGGTTGGGATTCAAATCGTACAATTGGTAGGGCTGATCACCTAGGGGGCTGAGGGGCGGGGCCAAAAGGGGGCAATTTGGCTATATTTCTTCTCTGGAACTAAGAGATGGATATCAGCCATATTTAACTGGAAGCATCCTTAGGTAGTGGAGATTAAAACCTTTACAAATGTTGGGGCCGATCCCCCAGGGGGCTAAGGGGTGGGGCCAAAAAGGAGGCAATTTGGCTATATTGCTTTAAGCGACTTCTTCTCTGGAACTAAGAGATGGATATCAACCATATTTGACTGGAAGCATCCCTGGTTAGTAGAGATTAAAACTTGTACAAATGGTGGGGCCGATCCCCCAGGGGGCTGAGGGGTGGGGCCAAAGGGGGGCAAATTGGCTATATTGCTACAAACTACTTCTGTAGAACTATACACTGGATATCAACCATATTTGATCAAAAGCATTCATGGGAGGCAGGGATTCAAAATTGTACAAATGGTGTGGCTGCCCCTTCAGGGGGTTAAGGGGCGGGGGCCAAAAAGGGTTATTTAACTATATTGCTTTAAGTGACTTCTTCTCTGGAACTTAGAGATGGATATCAACCATATTTGACTGGAAGCATCTCTAGGTGGTGGGGATTCCAAATTGTACAAATGGTGGGGCTGACCCCCAAGGGGGCTGAGTGGCGGGGCCAAAAGGGGGCTAATTGGCTATACTGCTACAAACGACTTCTTCTGTAGCTATGCACTGGATATCAATCATATTTGATCAAAAGCATTCATTGGAGGCAGTAATTCAAAATTGTACAAATGGTGTGGCTGACCCCCAATGGGGGCTGAGGGGCGGGGCCAAAAAGGGTTATTTGGCTATATCGCTTTAAGCGACTTCTTCTCTGGAACTAAGAGATGGATATCAACCATATTTGACTGGAAGTATCCCTAGGTGGTGGGGATTCAAAATTGTACAAATGGTAGGGCTGACCCCCCAGGGGGCTGAGGGCGGGGCAAAAAGGGGGCATTTTGGCTTTATTGCTATAAACGACTTCGTCTGTAGAACTATGCACTGGATATAAATCATATTTGGTCGGAAGCATTCACGGGAGGTGGGGATTCAAAACTGTATAAATAATGGGGCTGACCCCCCGGCTAAGGGATGGGGCAAAAAAATCAGTTTATTACTTGGAAATGGTTGAGATCCCCGCCCTATAACCATATATACAATTGCTGATTATAAAGAGAAGCATGCACATATGCTTCCAGGATGGCTTCGGGGTCTGGTTCCACCCTTGGAGACTTAACCCCTGGGTCATAACTTTGAAACGGTTGAGATCCCCACCCCAAAACTATATATACTAATGCTGGGCAAAAAGGGACGAATGCAGTCATGATATTTGAATTGATCCTGGGGTCTGGCCACAACCCAAGGGACCTAGTTTCTTAGTCACAGCTTGGAAACAGTTGAGATCCCCACCCTATAACCATATATATAATTGCTGAGTATAAAGAGATGAATGCACATATTCTTCCAGGATGGCCTTGGGTCTGCCCCACCCTTGGAGACCTAACCCCTGGGTCATAACTTTGAAATGGTTAAGATCCCCATCCCAAAACTATATATATAACTGTTGTGCATAAAGAGACGAATTGATCCTGGGGTCTGGCCACAACCCCAGGGACATAGTTTCTGGGTCACAGCTTGAAAACAGTTGAGATCCCCACCCTATAACCATAAATAAAATTGCTGGGCATGAAAAATCTAATACAGATATGCTACAAGGATTGGTCTTGGGGTCTAGCATATTCCCTTGGATCTCATTTGGAGAATATTTTGCCATGATTGCTTAGATATCTAGGTGAGCGATACAGGCCCTCTGGGCCTCTTGTTCACACAAGTACTTCTTTACTATGTATTTCATAGTTTCGTCTTTAGTAATGACAGGATTTTGTCCAAATTTGGTATGAAGCATCCTTGGGTGAAGGGGAACCAATTTTGTATAACCGTGTGTCTGACCCCCCTGGAGGCAGAGATGGGGCCAAAAAGGGGAAATAGAGGTAAAACCTTTAAGATTCTTCTTCTACCATAGGGATTAGGGATTTTATCCTTATTTAGCCTGGATCCGGAGCATCCTTGGACCAAGGGGACTCAAATTTGTATAAATGGTGGGTGTGGCCCCCCTTGCGGCAGAAGGGCGGGACCGAATAGGGGAAATAGAGGTAGAACCTTCGAAATCCTTCTCCTACCGTAGGGATTAAGGGATTTTATCCTAATTTAGTCCGGAGCATCTTAGGCCAAGATAACTCAATTTTGCATTAACCGTGAATCTGGCCCCTCAGGGGCCTTAAGGGCGGGGCCCAATAGGGGAAACTTAGCAAATTATTCTTTAAAATCCTTCTTCTGTAGGAATGAAAGGATTTGGTCCATATTTCGTGTGGAGCATCCTTGGGCTAGGGAAAACACAATTTGTATAAACGGTGGGTCTGGCCTTCCTGGTGGCTGAGGGGTGGGGCCTAATAGGGGAAATATAGCAAATTCTTTAAAATCCCTTTTCTGTAGGAATGAAAGGATTTGGTCCATATTTGGTGTGGAGCATCTTTGGGTGAAGGGGAACCAATTTTGTATAAATCGTGGGTCTGACCCCCCCTGGGGCCTGAGGGGCGGGGCCCAGTAGGGGAAATAGAGGTAAAACCTTTAAAATCCTTCTTCTACCATAGGGATGAAGGGATTTTATCCTAATTTAGTCTGAAGCATCCTTGGGCAAAAGGGACTCAATTTCGTATAAACAGCGAGTGTGGCCCCCCTGGGGGCAGAAGGGAGGGGTCCAATAGGGGAAAAAGAGGTAAAACCTTTAAAATCCTTCTTCTACCATAGGGATTAAGGGATTTTATCCTAATTTAGTCTG